GTTCATTCAGGCAAGTGCATAGGCATGCGCCTAGCTCCTTCAGCATTTTATAGGCTTGGCGTCTTTTAGCGCCTTTCGCCTTTGACAACACTGATCAGAAATGCATTTCTTTTCTGCATTTGCTTTTCACTTGTAGGTTTAATGCAACAGACTTCTTGACAAGATTGAGAGGTAAGAGGCTCATGCTGGTTGGAGATTCCATGAACCGAAATCAGTTTGAATCAATGTTGTGTCTCCTTCGTGAAGGCCTGCCTGATAAGAGCAAAATGTTTGAGATCCATGGCCGCAGAATAACAAAAGGAAGAGGCTACTATGTCTTCAAATTTGTGGTAATTACAGATTTTATATAGTTATGCTGCTTCTATATTTTAGTCATCTATAAAGGGCAGAAGACAGCATTAGCCAATATTATAGTAGTTAAATTGAGTGAAGATAGAGGATCAGAAAAAGAGCAAAAAATTGCAAAAAAGTAGTCTATGCATTCTTTCTTGAGCACTGACTTGTTACAGATGAGTGGTAAAGGTCTTCGTGGCTGCAATGATACCTTGGCTTTATTGGGAAGCATCCATTTCTTCAAGAAAATAATTTGAATGTGCTTGTATTGTGAAATAAATCTGCTATACTTCCATAAAAATTATCTTTACAATTTTTTTCTCATTTGTTTCTGGTTCAAAAAAGTCGTGGTTTTTGTAACCGGAAGTAGCTCTAAGGCAGCTGTGCTACTCGTGAATTCTTTCTCATTTTGGAATCCACAAGTTCCTTCTGAATACACAACAATCTACTTAGATAGACTTAGTTGTAACTATGGTATATCAACAATGTTTATTCTTCCAAAGAAAAAAGAAGAGGGTTGGTGATTTTAATAATTGCGTGGGCAGGATTTCAAGTGTACTGTGGAATTTGTGAGGTCACATTTCCTTGTGAAAGAAGGGGTGCGCATAAATGCACAAGGAAGCTCAAATCCAACTTTATCTATAGATGTAATTGACAAGACAGCTGGCCGATGGAAGAGGGCTGACATCCTGGTTTTTAATACTGGGCACTGGTGGACTCATGGAAAGACAGCTCGTGGGTATGTTCGAATTGCTGTTTTTGTTATATTTTAAATTGTAGTTCCACGTAATTTCTGCCTTTGTTATTATATCAGGATGGTATTTTTCCATGTTTATATTATTTCTCGGGTAAACTTTATTTTTGCCTCTATGAAATTATCAATCTTCCAATTTTATTCCTATAGTATAAAACATTCTCATTATTGTAAGTGTTTTCAAAAGGTTCTAATTTTACCCCTAACCATTAAGTAACCTGCTTTTTTGAATTTGGTTGGGTGTTTTTTTAAAAAAAAAAATATTTGTAAGTGTTTTTTGTGAAATGTTATAACATTTGTGGGAATTTGATAGGAAATAATTAGAGAAAAATAAGGAAAACTAAAATAAAGTAGCAAAAATGTGAGATTTTTATTAGTTATTTAATAGCAGAAGGAAAAATCAAAACTTTGTCAAAATTATAGGAGTGAGATCGGGGCATTTTAAACTATAGGGGTAAAAGTGGAACATTGATAAAACAATGAGTGCAAAAATGTAGTTTACTGTTACTTGTCTCTGCACGTTTTGGTTCAGTAGCTAGGTTACATGACAATGTTAAGCCTCCGTCTTCCATGATCCTTGCCATTGATTTTGAGGAAGATGTTTTTTTCTTAGTAAAGATGTGAGTGGTGTTTAACTCTGGACAATAGGGACACGCTTTATAAATTAAGCTAGTTGGCACACACTCTTCTGTTTCTATTTTGAGAGCTACTTCAGTCTTTTTTTTCCCCCTTTTCTATTAATAGCAACCAAAAAAGAGGAGGAAGAATAAAGATTAGTATTGAACAAGAAGAAATGGTGAGATTTGAGTAGGAATCCCTTTTTATTAGCCATTTCTAAGACAAAAAAAAATTAGTCCCTTCCAGTAAAGATTCTAAACCCTGCATATTGCTGGAAAATCCCTTTTGTGAACCTTATCTTTTATCCAGTATTGAACAAGAAGAAACAGTGATATTTGAGTAGGAATCCCTTTTTATTAGCCATTTCTAAAACAAAAAAATTAGTCCCTTCTGGCAAAGATTCTGAACCCTGCATATTGCAGGAAAATATATTTTGTGAACCCTATCTTACATCCAGATTCTTTAGTTGGTTTATAGACGGGTGTGAATGTGTGTTTGAAATCATACTGGTAAATAGTTCGATTCAGAAATTGATGTCCGTGCTTATTTTGTCTATCTAAATGTTTGTTTTCCCTTGTAATATAGTACTGCTTAATTGTGCAGGAAAAATTACTATAAAGAAGGTGACTATCTCTATCCAAAGTTTGATGCAGTTGAGGCTTACAGAAGGGCTCTAAGGACCTGGGGAAAGTGGATTGACAAAAATGTAAATCCAAAAAAGCAGTTAGTATTCTATCGTGGATACTCCTCAGCCCATTTCAGGTACATTTTTGCTTCCATTTTCTTCTAACCGTTCTTTCATCCCTAGACCTAGGTTATATTATGAATACTAAATGGTATGGAGGAGAGTATATTTTGTTAATGTTTGCATTCTTTCAGATTTACAAAATGCGGAAAATTCATTTTATTTAATACCTCGAGTCTGTTAATTTATAGCAGTAGCATGGATCAGCTCTGTAACTCTTTCCATATTTGGAAACTTTTCTTGTGAAAAGCAAATATTTTGTTGAAATAGATATAACTACTGCAATTATTTATTTTTCTACATTAATTATATAATAAGCAGAGGCGGAGATTGGGATTCAGGAGGGACATGCAACGGGGAGACTGAACCAGTTTTGAGGGGGTCAATTCTCAACAACTATCCTGTCAAAATGAAGATAGTGGAGGAGGTAATCCAGGAAATGAAGAATCCAGTTACACTGTTAAATGTCACTAGTTTGACCAATTTTCGAAAGGATGGGCATCCTTCAATCTTTGGCAAGAACGTAACTGCTGGGATAAAGGTCTCAACAAGGCGCCAGGACTGCAGCCATTGGTGTCTTCCAGGTGTCCCTGATGCATGGAATGAGCTAATATATGCAACCCTCGTTCAACATTGACTTTCCAAGAGTTGAAACAACAATCTTCCCTCCTCATTTTCAACGGGGAAAGAAAAAAATATTTATAATTTTAGTTTCACCAGGTATGGAGAATTCCAAGTTTTGTATTGTTCAAGACTTGCAATGTGAACTCTGGCTTTGCAAGTCATGGAGAATATATTTTTTTTTTCTGACAACCATTTCTGAATCTATGATATATATATATATATATATATATATATATATATATAGGAGAAAAGTGTGCTGATGATTGGTGAGGTTGCTATGTCTGGTCTTACCTTTTCAACGCATGTGGTTGCTTCTGGGTTGCTTCTGTGGTAGGTCTTTTTCTAAGAAGATTACATAAAGTAATGCCTTAGCTTCAAGCTGTAAGCAACCATCAAACTCCACTTCTTGGCTTGGACCATAAAACATGGGTCCATCGTATAATCTTAATCTAATTTCAGCTAACTGGGTCAATCTGCCAAAATTATTTGTACACCTCTTCAATTCTTTGCCCACAAGAAAAGTCAAGCGGATAAGCAATGAAAATGATTGTTGTGATTCTGGGTTAAGATTGGACTGAGTTCATCCAATGGTCATCACTAACTAAATGGAAAAAAATTTGAAAGGTATGAAAAGGTTCCTGGAAACGTTGACATGCCACTCCTTTTCTAATCAAAGAAAATAGATCTTTCTTTTTAGCCGCTACTTTTGAAATAACATTTTTTTATATTTATTTTTTATATCAATATATTAAAATAATCTAGAACAGAAACATTGAAGTAAAAAAAGTAATGGATTTTTATTTTTTTAATAAAAATATTTTTAAAGCATAAAAATAAACGTCATCTTTGTATGCTCATAGATAATAAACATGCTGGTGGGAGTTGTGTTACCGATGGAATTCCTCTTGCACGAGTCCTTTTACACACACTTTTCGGTCAATATAAATCACAATAAGGGTGGAGAATTAAAACAAATGGCAGATATTATTATCATAATGTTTTTGGTCCGTCAATTAAACTTACTTCGAAGACTTGGCTTCTATAATTCTACAACTTGACTTGATAGAGAATTAATTGAAGTTTATCATAAGGTTGGCGTTATGGTGCCAACTATGTGTGTGTCTGTGTGTATATATATATATTAATGACATAGCAACTTATTAAGCAATCTTTATTATGATAAAGCGAAATTAAATGCTAAAGTCAAACTTCATAATTATGTGAGTGCATGGATTTCTTCTTTCATGTTGCTCGTTTTATTTATAACTAATTAAGAATCAATCCCAACTGTGACCAAAAACACTGTTGTAGTTTGGCTTGGCCAGTTACTCTGCCTCGTTAAGTATAATTAATGGCAGAAATATGTTTATTGCGCTAACTAAGTTGTATATATATATATAATTCATTTCTTTTTAGATGAAGCTTCTATCAATCCTCCTCGCATCATTTCATTAAATATACACGTCGATCTTTTTATTTATTGGAGCACATAAACAAATAGATAAGCCATTCAATATTACTTGTTATATTAATTTGAAGTTTCTCAAATAAAGCTTACACTGAAACTTTAACCTAGTCAACAAAAATTAAAGAGATATATCGATGAGGTCCGCCATCCCCACCCCATCATTGCACAAACGGTCATGATTGCCCTAACATATATATATATATATATATTAACCTTAATATTAAAATCAATTTTTTTTATAATTAAATTCTAAACAAAACATACACATTTCAATTAAAACATTCATCAAAAAAATCTTTTTCGGATGTACAAAGTGATGATAATGTAAAGAATAAACATTAATTCTTACTAAAATAATGTCTTATTGTATATATGAAAATGAGAGATAGAGTAAGAAAAGTAGTTGGTCAAAATGAACCCATGTAGAAGGATATCGAATCACGTTCCCATAGAATTCCACAAACAAATTGTTAATTTTTTCTACCACAAGCTCTCTTTCCTAATCGTTACAAGACTTGGGGCATCCCCTCCCCTGTTGAATTATTCATCACTTCAAATTATTTAGTATTTTATAGTCTGACTAATAATAATAATAATAATTATTATTATTATTATTATTATTGATTTACATAAAGCAGTGTTGATGAAATATTTCAGCTATAAACCTACTAGAATCATTAATTTTGTACTACCATGATCATCGATAGCCGCTTTACAATTAATTAAAATTGCTTGCTTGCTTGCTAGCCAGCCAGCTAGCTCTTATGGACCATGTCAAAAACGGCTACATATTTTCTGATCAGTTGTGGTGCTTTCCTCACATGAAGGACACTTTGTGATTGTGCCAATATCCTTTGCAAGTTGAGAGTGCGATGACGACGACGACGACGACCGTCCAGTTTTTTGTGACCTTAATTCTTGCAATTCTCTCTTCAATCTCCTGTTCTCATTGCTTAAACTTTCACAACATTTCTTCAAGAGTTCACAGTCTGCCTCTGTTTGCTTCAGCTTGGTCCTGCATGCACGTTATTTTTTTTATTTTTATCACCATTATTACTGTAGAGAAGAAACCGAATACCCAAAAAGAAACCAATGCAAAAATGACAACAAGGATTGAAATGCACAAGCTGAGCTATGGAGATCATTACCTTGCCCTCCTGTTCTGGAACCAGACTTCAACTTGTCTCGGCTTTAAATTCAATTGCTCAGCGATTGCATGTTTCTTAGCCTGCATGCATGAGGTGGAATCCTTTATTTAGTCACTGGATGAATAAATTAAAGACGAGAGAGGGAAAAAAAAAAGACAAATAAATTGAAATTAAACAATGTTTTTGATAACTGAATCAAGGATTTATATAGCAAATTATAAATAAAAGCAAAAGCAAAAAAGCTCATTCAGGGAGAGGTTTATTTGTAACTCTAAAAATTAAAGTTTCCAGGCAAAATTATATATTATAATTTACAAGTACTTACAATAATGATATTAAAAGAACATGTGTATAATTTGATTTTCTGATATCTAATCAATGATCAAGAGTGATTGTCAGCAGCACAAACTGTCTGACAAAAGGGAAGGGAAAAAATGATATAAATATATATAAAGAGCAGCAAAAAAGGGTACCGGATTAAGAGTGGGATGCCTTCGAAAGCTCTCCTCAAGATAGCTTGATTGGTCTTTTGTAAGCCTGAGTTTCTTTCTACCAGTACCATACATGCAGCTATTATCAATGGAATGATCACTTCTCTTATTTCCATAATCCTCATCTTCTTCAGACTTGAAGCATGTCCCCTCTGCCTTGTCATGACGATCTATATTCCTGGAATCTTCTTGATCAGGCCAGAGTGTAAATGAGAGGTCTAGACGTACCACAGGCTTCTCCTTCTGTTTCTGTGGCCATGGCACATAGTTTTCACCACCTAGTCCAAGCCCAAGTCTTGTGTTACAGTACCCTTCTTCTTCCATATGTTTGAGAGAGAGAGAGGGGGGGGGAGGGAGAGAAGGGAAAAGGGAAAAGAGAAAGAGAAGATGATGAATGTAATTTGCAAATGAGGAGAAGGGGTTAGGAGGTGACTTTATACAAGAATATTCAAGTCTTTGGATATAATTTAGGAATATATAAATGATTTTAAATAATTTTTTTGTGAATAACTACAGTGCTAATTAATGACAATTAAACATGGTGATAGAGTGTCCTAATGGGTGCGTTAGAGCCATGCATGACCCTTTCTGAGGGAAACCAAAACTTCCTTCATTCCTTCCATATCATGTTTGACCTCGCGATTAATTTCCTCAGGGTTTTAAATATTAATTGATAATTAATTTTAGACTTTGATTGATTTGAGTCTACTCTCCCCCAGACCGTATATTTCCAAACAATTTCCCTGCGTATGAAAACAAAAGAATTCTTTGTTTTGAATTTGGGGTCAATTGTCTACGCATCTGCAAACATAGTATACTTCCCACCTTAATTTCTTCAATAATATCAAGAGTGATGTTATTAATTTCTTTGCTTTATATATATATATATATATATGGGCGGACTAGGGGCAGGCAAGCAGGGCTGGACCTGCAAAATATTTTGATTTTTTTATTATTTAGTATTTAAATATGTAATATATAATATTTTTTCTTTTAAATAAATAAGTTATTTAATAATATAACTTATTATATTAATTTTGGCCTCTACTCTCATCTCCACCCCTACATATATATAGAAATCTTAATATTTTTCTAAAAAATTTTATTATCATAATAATATTTTTTTCTTACTATCATCCAGGTTTCTCATGATATATACTATACTAAATATAATATATTTGATAAAGCATAATTTATACATGGATTATATAGAAAATAATTTATAAATAAAAGAGATCTTCTTGTGATAAAATCTAATCTATATATATTTTTATACGACCTATAGATTGTCTAGTTATGATTTCAATTCATCAAGCTATATAGTACAAAGAATATCGGAAAAATATTAGTTTTATATTTATGGAAGGAAGGTATTTTATAAGCTAATTATATCTGTTATATAAATATAAGAATAGAGATATTTGTAATATAGTTTTAAATTGAGAAATTAAATTATCAATTCGGAAGTCATCGAATCAACATCGTATATTGATTGGGTTCTACCTCTTTCTAATAAAATAATAAAAAAAGTTATTATTTGTTTCTTCTCAAAGGGTAGGTCAGATCATCAACGATGTAGAGGTTCAATTAGAAACTTGATTCAACCTAAGTGGAGGGGTCATGGGGTTAGCTAACCCACAGGGTTGGACTCCATTTGACAGCTAAAGTTGTGCTTTTATCACTTCCTGGTGGTAAAAGTTGTAATAATCTTCCCTCTATGTCTCAGCTGATGTGATAAGGAAAACACCATTTTTTCAAATACTTGGTGCTTGACTAACTCTTTTTAGTTGAATTTTGGGTTTTTGTTTTTTTTTTTATTATCCTAAATGCGAGGAATTCACTTTATCCCCTCGAAATTATTCAAACAAAGACTCTGATCATAGTTTTTTAAACAAATTTGTTTGTGTAGAATTTGGGATATGGGTATTCCTCTAGTATCGTAGATTCATAGCCTAGTTATTATTCCATTGTTGATGACAGTTATAGTAGCTCTTTTTATAAAAAGGGTATAAAATACATAATATATATATATATATATATATATATTAAACAAATAGTATTTAATAAAATACGATTAATCATAATAGCAAGTAAACAACTTATAATATTAGGTGATTTTTTATGTATAACTTTTGTATTCCTTATCAATGTAATGCTATAATTGCTTTAAATTATATAATGCTAATTTTAATGGTGAAGTCTTTTTGTTTTTGTGTTTTAAAAATGTTTTTGAAAAAAATTTAAATTTTTTTATTTTTTTCTTTACTTTAAATTAATATTTTCTTATATTTTTAGATTATTTTTATGTGTTGATATTAGAAATAATTTTTAAAAAATAAAAAAATTATTTTAATATATTTTTAAATAAAAAAATACTTTAAAAATAATTATACTTAATATAGAAGTTGGTGCTCATCATTAGTTGTTTTATTAGTGGAGGGTTAAGTGATTGAAGGTGTGTTTTTGAGGTAACTTGTGAGTAGAAAATAATTATTGACGAGAATGAAGTTCTCTCTCTCCTTTGTAAGTGGTGTGCAAAAACATTCTAATTTTTAATAACTAAATAGGAAAAATTACTCTGATTATATTGTAATTTAGTTATTTTTTCACCTTACTTCTATTTTTAAAAAATAAATAAATAAATTACAGTTTTATCTTAAGGTGAAAGAGGCAAAATTACACTTTCATTTATTTATTTATTTTGGTACAATAAAATAATTAGAGTCTTGGATGGAAGTAAACATAGGATGGCAATGAGTCGTGTTATTTCACGTTATCTATATACCCGCGCCTCACCTGACATTTCTCCTTTTAGTAATATAGTTTAAAAGAGATTTGTTAAAATTTAATTTTTTTATTTAAAATTAGTTTTTTATATTTTTAAATTGTTTTGATATACTATATTAAAAATAAATTTTAAAAAATAAAAATATACATTATTTTGATATATTTTTTAACAAGAAAACATATTAAAAAATAATTAAAACCACACTCATAAGACAACTTTATAATCATATTGATCATCCCCATTTTACCCGCATTCAATCTAGTCGAATTGAATAAAAAGTCTTCTTCACTAGTTTGTGCCCACTGAATACTGACCTGACTCATCTTTCTTTTATATTAGAAAAACATTTCTCTTATTAAATTTTTTGTAGCAACTTGCAAAATCACTTCCTGGAAAAAATTATACAAAGAATTTGACTTGCTCAAGAATATTGTTTTTCTATTTAAAATACTAATTAATAAAACATGCATGTAATTTAAAGTATATATGCAATTATGCTATTAAACATACTAGTGACATGTGTTAACTAGTAAACTATTTATGATTAATATAATTACATGTAATCATTCAAGATCCTTTTTATTTTTGGAAATAAGGTATATAATGTTAAATTATATGCTTAATATTTAATTAGTATTGACAAATCTTTCATAGTTGATCGATTCATCTATTTTTTCAATTTATTTTATTAAATATAAATAACATTATATTTTTTAATTAAAAAAATAATATAATAAAAATCATTCATAACATTGATAGATTTTTTTACTATATTAAAAATCAACTTAGAATTCTATCCATGGTGTACCTAATATAATAAAAAATCCATGCTCCACTAAATTTATATGAACATTTAAGCTTTATTTAAAAGAAGAAATTCTTTTTTATTTATTTTATTTTAATTCGTATATAGACTAAATAGATAAAATTAGGCTTAGAATTATGAGACAATAGGAAATTAAAATAAAGAGAACTGAAATTATAAAAAACAAGTAGAAAATACACAACTCCTTTTATATCCTGGATAATTTTTATTTTTGATTTAAAAATTAATTTTATTTACTTTTCAATCCTTGAATTTCTGATAAGGAAGAGAAAGTGGTTTGGAAATAATATAGAGATAAAAAAAGTGTTTTTATTTGAACATCCTTGGCAAATGAGAGTGGTTTAATTTTTTTTTTTTTTTAGTTTTTTGAGTGATTTTAAGATGTTTTAGAATTATTAGGGTTTGTTAGTGTTTTTGAGGTATTTTTATGTAAAAATAGTATTTTTTTACCATAAAATCTCTCTATTGATTTTTTCACAACTTCTAAATTTTAACAAACAACGGATCACCATTTTTTTTATATATAAAAAAGTAAGGGCAAAAGAAAGGAACAAAAATAGCTAAACATATGGCCCTCTCACCTAGGTTTTTTTAAAAAGTCCATGTTTATTGGGGTACTCAACTTGAGCTATTGAGTTTTTTATTTTATTTTAATTTAATTTTTACTTGTAATATTAAGTTTATATTGAATTTTTTTATTAGTTTTCTTCTTAAAATTTTATCCTTTAATATTTAATTAACTTTATATTTTTTTATATTTTTTTTATCATGTAATTGTTGAATCCAATGAAGTCTATATCATGGTTTATGGGTTTAATAAATTAACTTGAGTTGAATTGAATTAATCCAATATATTATTTTTTTAATATTAAAAAAAATAACATCTTTATTTTTTAAAAGAAAATCAAACTAGATTGTGTTTTTCAAAAGCATTTGAACTCGTTAAGTCAACTAAGTAATATTAAGATAATTTTCATAAAATTTAATTTAAATTTAATACTTATAGATTAAGTTTAATGGCAATGTTAAAATATTTTTTATAATTTAAGTATTTATTTTATGTTTTTTTTTGTTTGACTTGCACGGAGCACACGAAGTAACCTTGTCTTTGACTATGATACTATCTTTGACTATTATACTATTATACTAAAAAGATAAAGTTTCGAAGCAAATTAATGTATTTGTTTAATCACTTTGATAACGTGCGTTGTAACTTAGTTGATTAGCGTGGGAGATTGAGGTGAGAGGCTGCTGGTTTGAGTGCTGAGGCTGTCATTTTTTGCCATTTATTGATGGGCTTAGGTGCTAGGCCTAGCCGTTTTCCTTCCTTCTTTTTTTTTTTTGTGTCTTTTTAGCACTTTGAAAAAAAATTATTACATTCATTTACTTTTTAACTTTAACATTGTTTTAATTATTAAAAATCATTATTTTAATTTTAATAATTTGTTCCAATTATTATGTATCCAATATGAAGAAAATAGTAATAATAATAATAATCATGAAAATTCTATTAAAATCATTTTGTTATTCTTAATTTTTCTAAATAAATTTTGAACAATATTTTATTTTATTTATGATATTTGTAGCTGTCAATCATAAAATGTTTTTTTTAATTAAGATTCAATTGAAAAATTCCTGAACTCCGAATATTTTATTTCATTAAAAAACATTTCCCCCCTCAGAACGCCGGGGACATACAAACTAGTATTTTCCACAATCATTTTTCTCCTCTTACAAAAGGCCACGTTGCATTAGCTTTTGCCAACA